TTACATTTATGTTTCTATTTGCTGTTATTCCGGGTAGTGCAACCAAATGAGATGTTTGTTTAAACAGTCATTTTGGTCTGATTGAGAGCTGACATGAAAATTTAAGTGGAAAAAAAGGTAGTGCAACCAAATTAGATGTTTGTTTAGACAGTCATTTTGGTCTGATAGAGAGCTGACATGAAAATTTAAGTGGAAAAAATGGCAGAATAAATATTGAATGGAAAGTTTCTCAACCCGTAGTTTTTCTAGATCTGCCAAAATGTTTCGTGTCTCAGGTATTGTTCAACTGCCTTAATGTATTAAGCTGATCAGTTAACATATATTTTCTTGTATCCGTAGTCAATTAAATGAGAAACCCTTACCAGAGGGCTGGGAAATGCGATTTACTGTGGATGGTATTCCGTATTTTGTGGATCACAACAGAAGAACCACTACATACATAGATCCCCGCACGGGCAAGTCTGCTCTGTAAGTGTTTTTGATGTTACCAAGTTTTCAAAAGTGAAGTTTAGCTCATGTCCTTTTTGAAAGTTGGGGTTTTTTCTGCTATGTATGTTGTTTATGCAGAATGTTTTACAGTTACTAACGCTGCTTAGTTTTCTTCGGTTTTTCATCCACTGCCCCTGAGGTAGGTGCTGTTTTGAACACTTCAAAATCCTTCTTGGCGAGTAGTGTATAAGATTAGAGGGTAACGGAGGAGCTTCATCAGTGCTGCTGATGAGCACATCCTTCCCTTCCAGTTCCTAGACCAAAATGGAGTTAGAACCAGAATTTAACTCCCAACTAAAATTCATTGACTGTCATCCCATTCTTATTGTTAGAAATCTTTTTTTGCAGTTAATAACCAGGTAGTGTTTAAAAAGTGCTGTGTATGCACTCCAGAGTTTATAAAGGAAGATTTAAAAAAAAAAACCAAACAAACAAGGAAATTATACCGCAAAATTTAAAAATGTGAATAAGAATCTTCCAACTAGATAGCAAACTAAACCATACAACTGTGAAACCAATGCATTGGCAGGCTTTTACTGAAATTACAGTAACGCTTTTGAAATTCATTTTTTTTTTCCTCCTTTTCTTTCCAGAGACAATGGACCCCAGATAGCTTATGTGCGTGACTTCAAGGCAAAGGTCCATTATTTCAGATTCTGGTGTCAGGTACGGCTTCACTTCTTGGGAATATTTGTTTGCCTTTTTGGTTTTTGCTTCCATGCTTTAAATGAACTCTTCAGTGCCTTATAAGTAAAGGTAATCGAACTACTTTAAGGTTAAAAGTGAGTTAAATTAGGAGGGAGTAAATACAGGACTTGTATAAACTCACATAAGCTTTAAAGCTAGGTAAGCTATGGCTTTAAAACTTTATAGAATAAAGGGATACCATCAATTTAGCCACTTTTTTAAGTAGTGCATTTCAGAATAGTGTTTTCTTTCTGCTGCTAATAAGGGAATATATGGAGGTGCAGTATTCTTATAGTTAATACAAGATCTACTTTCTGCACAAATATGTAATTCCAGAAGAAAATGTAGGGTATTTGACACAGAACGTGCATGTCTAAACGCTGAAGAAGATACTGTGCTGCTTGTTAGTGTGCTCTAGTACCATACCAAATTCCAGCACGTCAGTCTTGGTCCTCTGTTAACTCCATGTATATCAAAAGATGAAGTAACTTAAATCAACATATACAACAAATAACAGTCCAAACTCAGTAGTAGAAACGTTTTATAATAATAAACTTGACCTCTTAAACGTTTCATTTCAGCAACTGGCAATGCCACAGCACATAAAGATTACCGTGAGCAGAAAAACATTGTTTGAGGATTCGTTTCAACAGGTATTGTATTCAAAAATACAGTAGTGGTAGTGGGCATGGAAAGTGGAGTTGATTAAAATTACTTTCACATATCATTCTTGATCCTTTGGCATCTTGCTAATGTTATTTTAAGTGAGATTAACAAATACATACTAGTTTAATAGTTAGGATACATTAATGCTTAAAAGGTCATGCTAAAATATGAAGTTCTGGCTCTAAAGATTTATTCATCTGACAGAGAAGGTGTTTTTTAAATATTTTTTTATTTTTCCTCAGAATTCTTTAAAGTTTTGAGTTAATTTGGAGGGGAGCACCGTGGCAGAGCTGCTCTCCATTCTCAGGAAGTTTTTGTGTTGTGCTTATGTTTGTTGGCCCATCTTTCCTAACAGTTTATTACGTGAGCATGGGCTACGTACCAAAATACATTAAGCTGATCGCAGTCTGGGTGTTTCGTCATTTAAAGATTGAGTAATGAAATACAATACAATATTTTCAAGTGCTTTTGAGTTTTACTTTTGCTTTTTGAATGCTCATTGTGGCAAGAAGTCACTCCCATTGCTTGTTAAATTGAAGCCACAAGCAGCTCTTTGTCAGTCTAATAAGATACATAGGAACAGGCTTGGAAGTGCAATTAGTAAAAGTCCTTAGCATCTGTGATTCTGCCTAACTTTTAAATAACAAGCAAACAAAGCAGCTAGATTTTTATTATCCTCTTTAGGAGATGAAGCTGAAAAGTGGGGGAAAAAAATGTTTATTGTGCTTTTGTTTCTAATTTATTTGAGTCCTTGGTCGTGTGTTTTCATTACTTGTAACTGGGATACCATTCAGTGGAGTATTTAATACGAATGTACTCACTTTGGGCCCATGATTTATTGGCTGGATTTCTCTTAAATACTTACACACAGGCTGCTGGCCTAAGTATCCCGAGTCTTTAATTTCAGAATTATTATTTCTTTTGTCTTTTACATCTTTTACTTTTTCATTTATGGAAATAGGTTTACGTTAATGCTTCAAATTCCAGCAATATTCATAAGCTGATACTTCATGTACTCACAGTTCATTCTATGGTCTGAATTTTTCAATGCTACATTGTTTGATAGCAAATAGTACTGAGTCTGTCCAGTGTTCATAGCTGTTTTCTTAAAAAGAATTGGTTGTTTTTCTTTCACTAAGATAATGAGCTTCAGCCCTCAGGATCTACGGAGGCGCCTGTGGGTTATTTTCCCTGGTGAAGAAGGCTTAGATTATGGAGGTGTTGCAAGGTAAACCAAACTGGAATGGAAAATTGTATCTTTTTCTGCAAGTTGTTGGTGTGAAGTCTTCCCAAAGTAGATATTAAACTGCAGTGCTTTCAAAATATTAGTGAAGTTTATTCCTTATCTTTCCTCAGAATATCTGAGGAAGACAGTTCCTTAAGATGTATGCATGTCTAAAGCTGTATAAAATGATTTTCAGTTCACATTAGGAATTACTTTGATCGTCTCAGTGATTAAAGAGATGCACAGTTTACTGAACTGCAGTGAGCCTTTGACACAATCATTAATATCAAAGAGGCTTATTGAAAAAGCGAATAGAAATCTACTTTCAAGTCAAAAGTCGTTACTGGAATGTAACAGAGAAGTGCACGTATTAAGTAGCATTCCCTAAGACTTTAAAGTTTAAATCAGTGATAGATTTTTAATCTGCTCATTTAGGTAAAGGTGGTTTTTGTCCAAACCACAGACAGGTGTATATAACTGTGACTTTGCATATTGATTTGTGATCTGTGTTAGCTTCACTTTGGTTTCAGTTTGGTCCAGCAGACTTTCTGGTAAAGAAGTCAGGTTGACTGCCTATATGCCAACAAGTTCCTAAGTCAATGTGACTTAGCTAAAGTAATTTCTACTTTAATTTCTTTTGAAATGTGTTTTTATTGTTTGTGTGATTTCAGGGAATGGTTCTTTCTATTGTCACATGAAGTTTTGAACCCAATGTATTGCCTGTTTGAATATGCAGGGAAAGATAACTACTGCTTACAGATAAACCCAGCCTCTTACATTAACCCAGACCATCTGAAATACTTCCGATTTATTGGAAGATTCATTGCCATGGTAAGTTCAAAAGTAGCAAGCAATTCTCCTGTGTAATTTCCCTATAAATAATGAGTGTACCATTAGATGGATAATTAAATAATTTGAGTTGGAACTATTATCAAGTGTCTGGATGTAGCTCCTGTTGGTCTCAGTTAGTTCAGCATGTTAGCGGTCCTGATACTCTGGGTTGTTTCAATTAATTCTGTGGCTGTCAGATTTCATTGGTACAGAGCACAGAATGTTGTCATCTTAAATATTCAGTCATCTCTTGCATTATTCTGTTTGTTTTCGTGTTCTTCAGGCTTTGTTCCATGGGAAGTTCATTGACACTGGTTTCTCTCTGCCGTTCTATAAACGGATCCTAAACAAGCCAGTAGGACTCAAGGATTTAGAGTCGGTTGACCCAGAGTTTTACAACTCTCTCATCTGGGTAAAGTGAGTTTGACTTGATTTTGTTCTTGAAATAGAAATACCATTGGTGTGATTTTTTTTCTTATGGCAGGAAGTAGGTGTAAACTTGTTACTTAAAAACTCCACTGGAAATTGTAATATGAGCAGTACTGTGGTTTTAGATAAGAATTACTAATCTGTGCTGTCTATATAGGCTTTTACCAATCTCCACTCAGTGGTTGGGTTGTTTGGGTTTTTTTTAAACTGTGGAAGAAAGCAACAGGGAAGCTTAAGACTGTAATGAGAACTTTTCTGAAGGCTGTCTCTAGAGCAAATATGACCCAAATATCAGTAGCAGTTTCTGTAGTGATAAAGAAATTTTCTAGGTTGGAGGCCATTAAAGGCTTTGCCCCTATGAAAAAAACACTTAAGGGTGTGAAAATTCCTTATCTTGATTATTTAGCTCAAATCCTTTTTTTTCCTCAAAATTTTTCATACCCATCTCCTTTACTGAGAACAAGGTCTTGGCACAGTTATTTAACATCACGTCTTTTCCTTACAGAGAGAATGATATTGAAGAGTGTGGCTTGGAAATGTTTTTCTCAGTTGATAAAGAAATCCTAGGTGAAATCAAAAGCCATGATTTAAAGCCAAATGGTAGCAACATTCTGGTCACAGAAGAAAACAAAGAAGAATACATCAGGTAAGAAGAAATGAAGATTTTCAAATACTCTGATCTCTGTCATTTTCTTTCTTTAGTTCTAGCAAGAGCAGGTTGTCAAACTGTGTACTCTGAAGAACTGTTGAAATTCTGGCAGGTATTTCATTAAATCATTGCATGTGTTCATTATTGGAATTACTTTGTTTCGTAGCCTGCTGGTATTCTACACAGCCATTTATGTTTGGGTTTTTTAAAACTTAAGAACATTTTTGGATGCTTTTGTGATGGTTCTTATTTTTTAAAGATACTTGGGGTCACTACTAGTTTTAGCTGAACTGATCTTACAGTATAATTGGGTCTTGGCTGTTACATTTGTGTTACAAATGGTGTCATAAGTTGTGTTGTCACAAGTGAAGGATTGTGTTTGCAGTACCAGAATGTTTTCAAGCAAGAGGTTAAGAGGGAAGGAGTCTAAGAATGATTAATGAATAAAAAATGTGAACAGTGACCTGCTTTGTCCTGAAGTATCCCCTTCTTCCTCAGTGTGCAGCAGTACATAAGCTCTGTTTTAAGGTGTGAACTTCAACAGAAAAGCTTGGAGGATGTACTTGCAAAAAAAACAAGAGTCACACATTGCAGGCAGAAAATAAGCAGAGGCACATTCACACAGGAATTGTCCTCTCTTTCTTACGATGTGTTCTGTGAAGGCTTCTTTCAAGGGAAGGGGTGAGGGAGAAGGGGGTGGATTTTGTTTTCATCGCATGAGTTATCTGAAGACACTTCAGTGATTCACAGACAAGGTAGTGTTTGCCAAAGAAACGCACTGGTGTTTTGCAGATTTGCAAAGTATTCATACTGGGGTTGAAAATAGGGAGGATCTGCAGAAAACCCTTCTCTAGTTTCTAGGAACCCAGGGAGAGCTCAGATTCCAGTCTCCCTCAGCTTCTTTTGTCTTACTCTGAGACCTGCTTGAAGTCCCTGGAGTTTCTAGGACTGAAATCGGGAAGCAGCCATCTCTCCTTTAGACTCCAGTCCTGCCAGGCTGGGCTTGAATTCAGCATAGTATGGGCTTGAATTCAGCATAATATCTGCTTCTCCCTGGGTTCAGGTTCTCCGGGTCTCCTGCCTGCTTTTCACCCTTTTATTAATGGAGAGTGGAGGTTCTGCCACAGAGCAAAGTTTCATGGTTAACAGAAACAAATATGGAACTTTCCAAGTGGACATAGGCGTTTCGTGGTAAGCTAGTGGTCCTGCTTCTCTTCACCAGTACAACTTGACCTGGTTTTTACCTTTTCATGGATAATGACTGAGATTTCTGGGGAGAATATTAGACAAGTATAGCTCTGCATTTTTTTCACTCTTCAAATACCTGGGGACTGCTGTGCTCTCATTCATGTAATCAGTGAATAGATGCTGCCTCCTCTTTGAGCCCTTGTTGGAAGCACAGGGTTTTAACCTAAAGAAAAAGTCGTTAGCACAGAGTAAAGGTTACTAATAAAGTTACACAGTTTGCTATCCCCAGAACTTTCCAGGCTTTCCATGGTTTTTTTTAACTTACCTTACAGTTCATCTCAAAATAGGCTAACAAAGATGTGGACTTGTGTTATCACAGGCCATTTAAATTCTGTTTCTTCTCTTACAGACTAGTAGCAGAGTGGAGACTTTCCCGGGGTGTCGAGGAGCAGACACAGGCTTTCTTTGAAGGCTTCAACGAAATTCTGCCACAGCAGTATTTGCAGTATTTTGATGCTAAGGAACTGGAGGTAAAGGATTTTTTGGGCTACTGTTAGATCCAGGTTGTTATGTGTAAAGTACTCAAAGTCCAGACACTGTGTCTGAAGAGCAGAATTCAGTAAGGCCGACAACTCTGGTTTTTAGGACATAGGAAATTTTATGAAAGAGTAGCGTTTGATGAGTGTGTTTCCCTTCCCTTTCCTCCTTGTAGACTTACTTAAACGTTCCTAAAGGCTAAGATTCTGCCAGTAGAAATTTCTTACTAAATTGTTTTTGTAGTCCTCAGCAATTTGATTTGGCTGTGTTCACAGAATCACAGAACATTAGGGATTGGAAGGGACCTCAAAAGCTCATCCAGTCCAATCCCCCTGCCGGAGCAGGAACACCCAGATGAGGTTACACAGGAAGGCGTCCAGGCGGGTTTTGAATGTCTGCAGAGAAGGAGACTCCACAACCTCTCTGGGCAGCCTGTTCAAAGAATGAGTAACTTGACAGGGAGATAAAACCACATACGCAGTGGATGACCGCATGTAGACTGGACCAAGTTCTAGATAGCTTTGGTTGCTCAAAGTTACACTTTGTGAAGCATCTGTTCAATTTAAAAAGATAAAAACATATAAAACCAAAACGTCCTGTTCCTAGCAGAGAATTGTATGGCTGGGCAATGATAAACTGTTCCTGGCTTGAATGTCTAAATGCAAGGGATTAGTCAATTTTTCATGACAGAGATGCTCTCAGTTTTTTGGCCTCTCCAAAAGCATTTTATGAGCAGTCATCGTTCTTTGTTGTTGAAGTTCTGGATAAAGTTTAAAACTAAAACCAAGTGTACTGTCATTGCAGGTGCTTCTAAGTATGTGTGCAGTTACGTTATATTTTGTTATGCTGGAAGTCATTGCAGGGAAGTCATAACTTGTACTCTTACATCTATTTCCTTTTTTTTTTCCCCCTGAAGGTGCTTCTGTGTGGAATGCAAGAAATCGATCTGAACGACTGGCAGAGACACACCATCTACCGGCACTACACCAGGACGAGCAGACAGATAGTGTGGTTCTGGCAGGTCTGTAGCTTTGGTTTATTCTCAGACCAACAGAAGTTACAGAGCACAGCTACAGCCTGGTAACCAATACTCAGAATTATTGACCAGCTCTCTAATGTGTAAATGTAAATGGTTACTGCTAATCCTGCCCTGCATACCAGTCACAAATTTGTTAATCTGTGGATTATGGTGATGTGAAAATCTGAATACCGAAGCTATACCTAAATGTTTATTTCAATGATTATTTTTCAGTTTGTGAAAGAAATAGATAATGAGAAGAGAATGAGACTCTTGCAGTTCGTTACTGGAACCTGCAGATTACCAGTGGGAGGATTTGCTGACCTCATGGGTATGCATTAATAATCCCTCTAACGCCTTTTTTTTAAAACCTATATATTCATGGACATTTTAAATGAATTTTATATTTAGTGCTACTTTGTAAGTCCTGCATGTTCTTGAGCTGTGATGAATAAAAGAGATGGAGGGAATGTTTACACCACTTGTATTGAGTTTCAAAATCAGTTCAAATTGATGCCTTTCACCACGTGCATACCTTGGTCTAAGCAGAGTTGTATAGTGAAGGACAGATGTCTTTTTTTCTGTGTGAGGAATGGTAATCTTGGCTTGTTTTTAAGCTTTCACACTTCAGTTGTAATGTATTTCCTACTGATACAGAGGTAGCTAGACCTGTGCCTTGTTTGTTTGAATTTGTTACAGGGAGCAACGGACCCCAAAAATTTTGTATTGAAAAAGTTGGAAAGGAGAACTGGTTACCTAGAAGTCATACCTGGTGAGTATGTAACAAGTCAGAATGTCACTACTTCTAGTTTTGCTGACAGCAGCCTACTCAGAGGTTCTAGTAAATGGGTAACGTACTTAAATGGTTGAGACGCTATGAAAGCAAACACCAAGTTATAGCAATAAACTCTGTTGTTGAATAATAACTGAACTGCTGAAAAACTCCTGTGGCATGGAGTAGATTCCAGTGTAAATTGCATGGATTTTTGTATGACCGAAACTTTAAAGTTATCATCTTTTGTTGTCATCAGTGCACTACTTCTTGACAGTGAAGTAGCCACATTCACACTCTTCCCCAGAGAAAAAGCAGCTTCTACTCAGTTCCTTGGGTGTGGTTAGGAAAACCTCACAGTAAAACCTCAGTGGTGAGCTAAAACACAAATTTAAAGTTTCAGATGTGATTGATGACTCTAGTTAACCGACTAGGAAAAGTTAGTGAGACTTCTTACCCAAACACTGCATTTCTAGAAATCTCTCTCTGCTCAAGCACTTGAGCTCTACCTTTTGCTCTCAGAAAGATCCACTTTTGTGTCGGTAGTCAGCTTTTCACTGGGTCTGAATCCCAGGTATCCATCTACACAGCAAAATGTTAATTACTTGCATTCATAATGGGTTTTTTGTGATGGTTTAATTATTTTTCAGTACTGAAGTTTTTTCTTTCTTTTCAGTTTCAATCGCTTAGACCTTCCACCCTATAAGAATTATGAGCAGTTGAAGGAAAAGCTGTTGTTTGCAATTGAAGAAACAGAAGGATTTGGGCAAGAATAGATAAACTTTGCACCTTGAAGAACGTGAACTCAACGCGATGTATGTTCTTCACTTCTGCTTGTTGCACACTTCATTGTAAAGTAGACTTGACTTGGATTTATTTAACAATACTAATGTGTAAGTAAATGGATGTTATCCTGAGGTTTTATCCACGTTAACTCTGGTTTTCTACTGAGCACTTTCAGAAATCAAATGAGCAATCGGATATGGCTACAAATGAATTCTGACCCGAGTAGAGGTTTAACGCAGCTTTGGGCTCTGCTTTGTTTTACCATTCATTAATTAGAATGCATCCTTAATGACCGACAGATTTTTAACAATAGTTTTGTCTTTCCTTTTTAGTAGCATTTTTTGCTACTGATGCACTGGGAAGTTCATTGGTAGCTGCAATGCTGCAGCATCATCCTAAGCCTCTTTACAGCAGTGTTGCTCGAGCCAGCTTGTAACCATCCTCTGCGTACCGTGAGCAAACCCATCGCTTAAGCTCTTTTTTCCGACTCAAACGTGGCCAGACTGTTTTTCCCCTGCCTGGAGTCTGCTCGCATCCCAGCTGGACTCAAGCTGCTGTTAAGGGGATGTCAAACTGTGGCACAAATCCAGGCCATAGCTTTGCTTTGTGGTGGTGTTGTTTTATTTTCCCCCAATCGTGCTAATTTCAGCAAAACAGACACTCGCCCAAAGTTGCTGGAATATTTCTGTATACCCTCAGAAAAATTCTGGGTTTTTTTCTGTGTAACACATGTAACTTCCAAATCGATATTAACACTGTGGTACTTCACTTGTTTTGCAAAAGACAAGGCCACCTGGGATTGCACTGACTCCGTTTAGATTCCCGTTTGCAAACTGATGTTTCTTGTCAGAGGCGTTAATGGACGTTATTCCCAGTGTTACCCTTACGTGTTGCAGTCAGTTTGCTCTGAAGACTTTACTGGGTTCTCAGGAGGTAAAAAACCAACTGGATTCAGAAAACGATAATACTTACCATTTTTGCTGATGTGGGATACTGGCTTTGATTAGAAAGTTCAGACGCAGCTGCCAGATTGGTGAAAAGCTGGAGCAGCAGGAAATAGTTCTGTAAAGACTGAAACTAAGGCTTTTGGGAAAGGTTTGTAAGCTAATTTACCCGAAGCTGCTTATAGCTAGTAACGTTTGTAGTGAGCTCCTATTGGATTAATAACAGCTTTTACTTCCTCCTTAGAATCTGTTGGTATTCAATTCTCTTCTGGTTTACAATTCCATTTTGCGTTTTACTGCTCCTTTAGACTGAATGCACTTTTTTTGGGTATGGTCAGCTACAGGGAGGAAAGCAAACTCCGCTGAGCTGAGCTCTTGGCCACGGTGAGAGCCGGGACACTTGAACTCGCGTGTAGCACGCACTGCAGCTCAACCGCAGCTCAGGGCGCTGGGACAGGAGCTGGTGTTCAGAGGCTTCTGGATATCGGAGCTGAAGCAGGACAGTGGGAAACTGGAAAACTCAACTTCCAGTCTCGAATATTCCTTTCCTGCTGTCCCTTTAAGAGGGAAAACTGATTCAGGCCTAAGAAGAACCAAGACACTACAGGTTTTAACTGACTTGAGGAGTTTTTCAGGTCTAACAAAGTGATACATGGGCGTACTGGGAGGCAGAATGATAAAACTTTAGAGTAAACAGCTCTTTTGTCACGTATATTCTACGAAAGGCATGGAAAAGAGTTTCTGATGATACAGAAATGACCCTCCTTTACAGTTTCATTGACGATGAGAACTAAGGTGACTTAATGGTTTCACTAGGAGGAAAATCTGCCGAGTTCAGAACGTTTGATGGATTTATGACAGTATACAGCTCATGAGGATAAAAAAAAAAAGCCTTATGAATATTTTCAGTTTATATTAATTCTTACAATGAAATGTAGTCATCTAACATATTTACAAGAGAGATTAAATTAAGCAAGATAATGCAAGATTAAGCTATGAAAAAATAGTCTGTGTTCTGCATAACGCTTTACGATTCATGTAGGGAACCTAGAAATATTGTTAATGTATAAATATCACCCAAAAGGCTTTCAGCCCTATATTTTTAAAATAAAGAATAGTTATAATTGAAATAGCCTTAGCCCTAGTTCTATAGGGTACGGCTGTTTAATATTTTTATGGTTGAAATGTTTTAGTTCAGGAAAAAAGGTAAATGCTTGTATATATTTTTGCAGTCCGGGATTCCACTTATTCCATTTTTCCTTTCTTTAATTTAAATGGCATGTTTTTATGTCTTCTCTGCTGTATTAGGATGGGGGAAGGGGGCTGGATATCCCAAGCACCAGATCTTATTTTAAAATACTGCAAATCAATTGCATTGGGGGGAAGGGGGGGGGAGAGAAAAAAATCTGGGAAACATTGGATTTGGCCAAAATAGAATCGATTTGAAGCAACTTTACCGTGTTCAATCAGCAATATTCCTGAAGCCAGAGGTGCAGATGACTGAGGCGTTTTACTTTGTCAGCATTGTGAATGCTAACAAATGTGTTATTTTTTTACAGCACGTTGTGTAGAAATAAAAAGGAGTTAATATAAGCCACTGGTGCACTTTTCTGTTCTTTATGGGTGTCTGGTGAAAAACACCGTGTGGATGAGCCCACCCCGCCTGGTACCCCAGATAACAGCTTCCTGTGAATCGGACTTGCCAGTCAGATTTTCAGCAGATGTTACTGAATTTGACTCCCTCTGCTTCAGCTGATTTAGCAGCTTCAGCTGCGTTAAATTCACAGCACGTCGCAAATACAGATTTATACGCAACTGTCAATTGAGCCTCATTTGAAAGCATTCAAACAACTTTTCTTTAGAGTTTTGCCTTATGAGAATCACATGAGAAAACGAAATGCTGAGCCACTGACCTAAGAATTAACAAAGCCTTATTGCTCCGGGTAGCTCAGGAAATGTTCCTACAACATTATACTCGTGAAATACACGGTAAATGTGTCACCTCTCCGTGGAAGTTTGGGTTGGGTTTTTTTAATCCCCAAAAAAAAAAAAGCTTTTTTTTTTTAATTTTTCTGAGAAAAGTAAAACAAAAACAAAAACCCGCTTGCTTAACTTTGTTTTGGTTGCATTTTTATGACGTGCTGTACTGGATTTAGCATCTCAGCTCTCTCTGTTACATTGGTATCTCCAGCCCCCTTTTTGTGGTGTCTTTTTAATTTTCTCCAAGAATCACTGTTTGTGTATATGTGCTCTAGTGAACTCGTCTATGAACTGGGATCAGCAGCACTGGATTGTAAAATACTCTACTGAAATTCATTGTCGAAATTTCCTTGCATTGTAATTTCAAATACTCAGGTAACTGTAACAGTATCTCAGTAAGTCAAATACTTTTATAAAACTACTTAAAGAGCTGGTGGTCTCGTCGTTATTCCTTCTGTGTTACGAAGCATCTGTGTGCAAATAAATGGTCTGCTTTTTTGGGGGTGAGGCTTAGGCTGTCTGGAGTTGTCCTTCTAGCAAAGATTTTGAGCAATGTTTCTTTCCCGACACCTCTTCTGCTGTTGTTGATTGCAGGCTTGTTTGCAACTTGGTTGTTGTTGTTTCTCTTGGGTGGAGAACTGGCTGGATGGTGC